ATCGAGGACCCCCCCGGGACTCCTGTGCATACGAAACGTGTGTCTCGGCCCCCGGTGATGCGGGGGCAGGCCACGCGAAAACGCGAAAACCGCGAAAACGCGAAAACGGCGAAAACGGGAAAACGGCGGAAACAAAGTGCTTGGATTTGACACAGCTCACGGTTTTCTAGAACACCGCATCGGCGCGAAAACGGCGAAAACGCGAAAACGGCGAAAACGGCGAAAACGCGAAAACGGCGAAAACGGCGAAAACGGGAAAACGGCGAGTAGTTGGGGAAGAGTGCCAAGTATTTGCAAAAGACCAGTTTCAGAAGAATGGAGAGTTGCAGAATAGGACTTTGTTCCTTTGATAATAAGCCTCAGTAGCACGCAAAAAGGAGAGTGTTGAAAACGTTAAACTGAGAACTAGACGACGGTTGGCCCGAGAGCGAGACATGTAATTGTCCAGCACTGTCGAAAAGATGTATAGAAAGAGAGAAAGAGAGGGTGGATGTGAAGGAGTGATAGTGTGGATGCGCAGGTGCAATATAGATTCTGTAGATGTATGGAGGTGGAGGTAGATCTGTGGATGTGAGCGTGCAAAGATGTAAATGCACAGAGACGAGAGAAAAGATATGTAGAAAGAAAGAAAGACAGGACAGATGTGAAGGAGCGACAGTGTGGATGTACAGATGTGATATAGATGTGCAGATGTGTGGGTGTGGTGCGGTGGAGAGGTAGATCTGCGGATGTGAGCGTGTGACGGTGTATATGTAGAGAGGTGAGGGGGTGTATGACGTAGATGCGTCGATGCAACGGCTGCGCAACGTCAACCTTAGCTGTGCAAGTACAATGCTGAAGAGGTTCAAATAGAACTGAAGAACGTACATTTCACACTGAAGTTTCCACGAGCAGGGCGACCTGAGAGTAAACGACGTGACGATCATGACAAGCGACTCGTGTATTCCAAGCGAACATCGTTTGTCATGAAGGTGTGAAGTACACACATACTAACGTCACGATGACTCTTTTGTGGCAGCCACTTATGAGTAAGCAAAGTAGCTAAAATTTGTCAACCTCTCAAGAGAGCCGGGTGGCGCCAGAGATGACTCAGCCGCGAGAGATGACTCATCCGCGTACTAAAGTTGTACTACAAAGTCGCCAGTTCTCAGCTTCCAGCTCCCCAGATACTCCGCGTCACAGCTTGCTCCGCGTACTAAAGTTGTACTACCAAGTCGCCAGTTCTCATCTTCTAGCTCCCCAGATGCTCCGCGTACTAAAGTTGCACTACAAAGTCGCCAGTTCTCATTTTCCAGCTCCCCAGATACTCCGCGTACTAAAGTTGTACTACAATGTCGTGCTTAAGACTCCACAGATTGCTCCGCGTACTAAAAAGTTGTACTACAAAGTCGCCAGTTCGCATCTTCCAGCTCTCAGCTTCCAGCTCCTGCGATACTCCGCGTACTGAAGTTCTACTCGAAAGTCGCCAGTTCTCAGCTCCACAGATTGCTCCGCGCACTGAAGTTGTACTACAAAGTCCACAGTCCTGCAGAGGGTTGCGCCGGACAAACACAAATCGCACTCTCACCTGCATTTCGCGCACTCGACACGCACGATCTCCGCAGAGGGTTGTCCCGGACTGGGACAAATCGCACTCTCGCCTGCATTTCGCGCATTCGACACGCACGATCTCCGCAGAGGGTTGTCCCGGACCAGGTCAAATCGCACTCGCGCCTGCATTTCGCGCACGAACTAACTTAGAGTCCATCGCAAGCCCTTGGTTTCCAATCTGTCCTTGCGTCGCAAGAGCTCGTCGATTCCGCGCAAGGAGAGCCATGAGGCATGCCACGGCTCTTCAGTTTGATGGAGAGGAATGGACGTCGTCTGATTCTTGTTTTTCTTTCATCCCTGGGTACCCTCTGGATAGACTTGGTCACGTTATCTGGTCGTTCATGCGTAGTGCCTGTGATGAGGTGATATTCCTTTTGGATTGGAGATTAAGATCATTCTGATTCACTGACCTATTCACTAAGATTCGTGAATTGAACTTAAACTTCAACCGTTGAGATTTAGTGCACAACTAAGGAGCATAATTGAAAACCCTCGAAAGTGGCGAAGACCAAGAAAACAACGACTGCGCGAAGCCGACACAAACGGCGAAAACTACGAAAATGGCGAAGACGACAAAAATGCGCAAACGGGCGAAAACGGCGAAAGCGACGAAAGCGGCGAAAACGGCGAAAACGCGAAAACGGCGAAAACGCGAAAACGGCGAAAACGCGAAAACGGCGAAAACGGCTAAAACGGGAAAACGGCGAGAACGACGAAAACCGTTTTCTTGGTTTTCTCGTTTTGCCGGTTTTCTTGGTTGTGGTTTTCACGCTCAAAGGCAAGACAAGCAAGAAGACGTAAGCAAACTGGAAAAAGCTTCCACACGGGAAAACGCGAAAACGGTTTTCTCGGTTTTCTCGGTTTTCTCGGTTTTCTGGTTTTCTCAGTTTTCTCGGTTTTCTCGGTTTTGTCGTCGCATCGCGCGGGCCACGACGCAGGTTTTGTGTTCTTAGCGGGACTCCCCCCCTTATTAAAACATAACTCAGAAAATCCAGTTACCACGCTAGGTGGTAACCAGGTGTTCCAAAGACTAAAACCATAGACCGAACGAATCCCTGGTTCCTTATAGTATGTGGTTTGCCTGGGATCCACTGGGTAATCCACGCCCCCCATCCCATCCATACCCAGACACGACCCGTCTGGGACTGTCATAGGACTGCCGCCCCATGCATTGACCCCGAAATGGCACCACACCAACTGATCGGTAAATATGCCAGTCCCATGGAGCGTCTGGGATACATATCCATGTGAGGATTGGACCAAATCTATTCCTACAGGTCAGTTGGACCTCATGAAGTATTGGCATTGGTCATACAAAAACACCATTTAATAGGAAGCAAGTTTGACCAGTATTTTTCTGGGTCAGACTGGTAGGGTATGGGTTTCAGTCGCATAGTTGATGCATGGAAAATCCGATCACCCGCAGCCGCAAAAGAATTCTGCCCTCCCCTGACCCCTTTTTTTTCGGTCCTCGGGTCGCCACAAACTTTGGTCCGGTGTCCGCCTCCTCATCTCCTCCATCCATGTCCTTCACTCCATGTCCTACAGGAAAACAGCCGAAGGAGGCATGCCTCATACCCCACCATCCAGCGGACCCCTTATCCCGATGGAACACCGCCTCGCACACCGAGCTCCGCCTTTCGCTCGCGTCGCGCACCGAGCTCTCCGCGGAGGCGGTTTGGGAGGCGGTCCTGGCGGTGGAACGGCGCTTGCGGCCCGGGGTCTCCTACAAGGACCGACCGAAAAGCCGTGTGCCGCGGCGTTGAAGAGATGGATCGACGTGGGGATCCGTATTCCTATAGAGATCCATGTGTGATTCATTTCAGCAAGCCTGCTAGAAGAACCATCTTCCCGAGCTTGGCTGCTTCTTTCTCTTTTGACGGCCTTCGTTTTGGAATCCTTTTCGGACCCCTCAAGCTGTTGGCTCAAGCTGACTCCTCTTGCTTCTGACATCTGAAGGATGCAGGTTACGGCTTTGTCCGGCGCCACCGTTGCGCAGCTGGATGAGGATGAGTTGCGTGGCATGGAGGAAAGTGGGAAATCCATTCGGGATCTAAAGAAGCTCCTTTCAGCTCAGCTTGGGTGCTCCAGGTTTCAGCAAAGACTCTTGAGTGACGAACTCGGAGAACTGCAGGACGACATGCCCTTAAGACCACTGCCTAGTGTGCGGCTGGCCATCCTGCCCCTATGCGCCTATGATGAGATCATGGAGGAAGAACTGCTTCGCCGCTGTGAGGGCAATGAGGTGGGTGAGGTTGAACGACTGCTTCAAAGACCTCAAGATCCAAACCGGGGAGGATTGTTCCTTGCAGCCGCGAATGGCCACTTGGACGTCGTGCGCTTGCTGCTGGAGGCTGGAGCTGACAAGGATGTAGCAAATGCAAATGGGGCAACGGCTTTGATCATTGCAGCTGAGAGCGGCCACTTGGAACTTGTGCGATTTCTCCTTGAGGCTGGAGCCAGCAAAGATGTAACAAACATGAATGTGGCAACAGCATTGATCATTGCAGCTGAGCGCAGCCACTTTGAAGTTGTACAGTTGTTGCTCGACGCTGGAGCTGACAAAGAGGTAGCAAACACAAATGGGGCTACGACTTTGATGATTGGAGCTGAGAGCGGCCACTTGGAAGTTGTGCGATCGTTGCTCGAAGCTGGAGCTAACAAAGATACAACAAATACTGTAGGGGCAACTGCTTTGATAATGGCAGCTGAGAGTGGCCACTTGGAAGTTGTGCGACTGTTGCTGGGGGCAGGAGCTGACAAAGATGTAGCAAACACATATGGCGCAACGGCTTTGATGATTGCATCTGAGAGCGGCCACTTGGAAGTTGTGCGCTTGTTGCTGAATGCTGGA